AAAAAAAAAAAAAAAAAAAGAAAATTCTAGAAATTGCAAACTAATCACTAGGAACAGAAAGCAGATCAGTGGCTGCCTAAGGATGTGGGGGTTGGTGGGGACAGCAGGAAGAGATTACAAGAGAGCATGAGGACACTTTTGGGGGGTGATGGGTATGTTCATTACCTTAATTATGATGATGGTTTCTCAGATGTAAATGTATGTCAAGATGTATCAAATTGTACACTTTAAATGTGTGCAGTTTATTGTATGCCAGTTATTATTCCGTAAAGCTACTGAAAAGAAACAAAAAAGTTTATCAACCAAATGGATCATGACTCAAACAGACGAACTCTGAAAAGAAATTGGTAAGAATCCTGAGCAGACTCGGTGGCTCACGCCTGTAATCCCAGCACTTTGGGAGGCCTAGGTCGGTGGATCACCTGAGGTCAGGAGTTCAAGAAGAGCCTGACCAACATGGTGAAACCCCTTCTCTACTACAAATACAAAATTAGCCAGGTGTAGTGGCATGCGCCTCTAGTCCCAACTACTTGGGAGGCTGAGGCGGGATAATTGGTTGAACCCAGGAGGTGGAGGTTGCAGTAAGCCAAGATTGCACCATTGCAGTCTAGCATGGGCAACAAGAGTGAAACTCCATCTCAAAAAAAATAATAATAATCCCAAGAACACTTGAACTGTGGATATTTGGTGACATTTTGGACTTTGTAGTAACTACCTTTAGATGTTATAATGGCACTTACTGAAGTGCTTATACCTGACATGATATGATATCTGAGATTTGCTTCAAAATAATGTGAGGGTAGGGACAGTGGTGGAAGTAAAGCTGCAACAACATTGGCCTTGAGTTGGTAACTTTGCTCTTTTACTCTGTACCCCAGGCTGGAGTGCAGTGGCGCGGTCAGCTCACTGCAACCTCTACCTCCCAAGCTCAAATGATTCTCATGCCTAAGCCTCCCGAGTAGCTGGGATTACAGGCATATGCCACCATACCTGGCTAATTTTTGTGTTTTTAGTAGAGATGGGGTTTCACTATGTTAGCCAGGCTGGTCTCAAGCTGCTGGCCTCAAAGTGATCCCCCCGCCTTGGCCTCCCAAACTGCTGGGATTACAGGTATGAGCCACCACGCCGGGCCAACTTGGTAACTTTTAAAGCTAGGTGGTCAGAATGGGAGGCACAGTTAATATATTATTTTTTAGACCTCTGAGTTTAAAATGTTCCATAATTTTACAAAATGGAGAAAAAAGTCCTTAGCTTTGCTGTCCCTATTTTAATGCCCCTGTGCACAGGTATTCACCTTCACCTGGAGAGAGGACATCCGGCCTGGAGACCCCCAGCACACCAAGAAGTTCTGCTTTGATGCCATCTCCCATACCAGCCCTGTCACGCTCTATGACTGCCACAGCATGAAGGGCAACCAGCTGTGGAAATACCGCAAAGTAAGATGGGATGGGGGGAGCAGGGCACCGGTTTGATTTTTTTTTAAGGAGATATATTGCCTCACCCCTTCTTTCAACAGAGCCTATCCACATATTCATTTGTGCCACAAACCTACCATGCCAGATTTTGCAGTCATTCAAGAGCAATCAGAAATCTAGACTTCTCTGTGAAATCCCCAAATCTAGGCAACTGAGTCCATTTAAAAAGAAAAGCATGACCAGGCACAATGGCTCATGCCTGTAATCCCAACACTTTGGGAAGCTAAGGTGGGTGGATCACCTGAGGTCAGGAGTTTGAGACTAGCCTGGCCAACATGGTGAAACCCTGTCTCTACCAAAAATACAAAAGTTAGCCAGGTGTGGTGGCTCATGGCTGTAATCCCAACTACTGGGGAGGTTGAGGCAAGAGAATTGCTTGAACCCAGGAGGCGGAGGTTGCAGTGAGCCAAGATTGCACCATTGCACTCCAGCCTGGGTGACAGAAGAAGAACCTGTCTCAAAAAAAAAAAAAGAAAGAAAAGAAAAATGAAAGTGTGCACATTGCAAACACACACACACATGCGCACACACATCATAAGGACCAGTGAGGTCTGACGGGACGTGGGCAGTGTCTAGGTCCCAGGTCTGGAAGCAGCATGTATCACTTCTGGCCACATCCCAGCAGGCAGAACCCAGTCCCATGGCAATAGCAGCTGCAAGGGAGGCTGGGCAGCATCTGGCTGTGTGCTCAGGAGGAAAATCAACAGGTGTATGAACAGCCAATCAGTCACTTCCTCACTTTCTCATTGCTCGTGTTGTTGCTGTGGTTTGACTAGTCATGTCTCCAGTGCTGTCTGGCTTATTACCTCCATGTTTTGTAGGACAAGACCCTGTACCACCCTGTCAGTGGCAGCTGCATGGATTGCAGTGAAAGTGACCACAGGATCTTCATGAACACCTGCAACCCATCCTCTGTCACCCAGCAGTGGCTGTTTGAACACACCAACTCAACAGTCTTGGAAAAATTCAATAGGAACTGAGCCCTCATGTCCCCTTGGCAGGCCCCACAGGGTCTGGCACTCACTGCAGCCATCGTTTTAAGGGAAGCAGGGCCTCTGTGCGCACTGGGTGTAAAAGGTGCTGGCCAAATGGTTCAGGGTGAAGAGGACTCTTGAATCAGGGGCTGGGGTCTGCCTGGTCCGTGAGCCCCTGAGCTGGGGGGTAGGGTGAAGAGCAGATCCCACAAGAAGCCCCACAGGGAGCAGAGCCTGCTTTAATCCCTGCTGGCATCACAGAAAAGCAGCAGGGCCTTTTCAACTTTGTCACTATGTCCCCTTGAGCATTATGTGAGAGAATACCAGGGTAGCCTAGGCCACCCAAAAATGAGTCTTGCAAGGTTGCCCAGCCCTCAGGTGGCTCTCCTACATGATGGTACTTTAGAAAGAAAAGTAAAATGTCCCTGTTTGGGGCAGCTTTTAGTACTGATGCCACTCATCAGAAGGGAAAGAAGTCTTTTTGGGGCTTTTTCGTTTCTGCTCTCCTAGGGGGTACATGGCAGTTACTGCCCAGCTTCTGTTTTCTGTCACAACCCCAGGTGATTTGGTCTGGTCAAAGGCCACGCTTGAGGCCCTCAGAATGTTCAGTACCAAATGCTGGTCAAGGAGTCAGAAGAGGGACCCCCCCAGACATTTCTCTGCAGCTATGAACATGCAGGATATTTCCCCCTGCTCTCTGGGTATTTAAAATGTCCATTTTAGCAGTCTCCAGGCACAAGGACAGCCCAGCCACCAGCTTTTCAGGGCAGTGTTTCAGATGGCCTTGAGCCCATGGAAAAGGCCAAGTAGACCTCCAAACTAGAAATGCTGGCTAATTTTCCCTGATCCATGCTTCCATTTCCCCTTCTCTCTTCCCCAGGCAATTACTGGACTCAAAAGAGAAACAGAGGTGCTGCGAGGTGCTTACCTCACAGAGTCTGGAGGCCTCCAGGATCAACTGTGGGCAAAGTGCCTGCCTCTGACCTCATCATGGTTCTAGTTCTCATTTGGAACTCCAGAATTGTAAAAGAACTCTATAATTGGATTGCAAAGTAGAATGCTACCTAGGATTCTGGTATTCCAGCATCCAATATGGATTTCTAGAATGCTGTGATTAAAGGAGCCAGCCAGGTGTAATACAGTCAAGGCAGCCCCCAGCCTAGAGACAATCTGTGAAATCCAAAGTTGGTGGTGTTGGGGAAGCAGGGGGACATGAGTGTCCCTCAGCTCAAAGCAGAGGCTGTAGTATGACATGGTCCTCAGTGAAGATCTGCACCCTGGGACCTCCCACCATCATCACAGCTGCAGTCTCATTTGCAGTGGAGAAATGAAACCGTTGTCCCACAGCCAGATATATACCCAGCTCCATGCCAGCCCTTCATGTTTACCTTTTGCTTTGTTAATTACATGTCAGACTCCTAGAGGGCCTCCAGACTAATAGAAAGCATTTCTGTAACCAACCTGCCACCCACTCATTCAGAAATGGAAATCACATTCCACAGTCTATGACTTCCACCAACTAGCCCAGGAAATACTTGAAATCAGCATTCCAATTAGTGTTGGGTCTCTTGATTGTGTCATTTACCAATTAAATAACTAAGACATAAGTCTGGGAACAGAGCCACAAATCTGCCTTTGAGATGCTGGCTGATCTCAAGGCCATCAATTATTGGCGGAGGGAGGGACAAACACTCCCAACCATCCACCAGTCAGACTGAATGTGTAGCTGGCAAAGAATTACTTCCACTTCTGGCCCAGCACAAACCCTGCTCTGGCCACCTGTCTGCAAGAGGTGGCCCCTGCAGCTTTAGAAGCGGCCCTCTGTAGAAAGAAGTCAAAAGATGAGGCCCCTTCTAGAATCTAGGATAACAAGAGTGTTGGCAGTTTGAGGAGTTGAATTAAGATTCATCATCAGAGAGTAATGCAGTGTCATTAAAATAAAAACTGTGCCTTTTAAAAAGAAAAATGCAAATATACAGCAAATCCCTAAACTTGAACCATTTCCTAGTGCCTTGCTAGACAAATGTAAAGGGGTGGGGTTGTGGGGAGGGGAACATTTTTGGTGGCGTGTGCAGTTCCTACTGGATGAGTGTGTGTTTCTTATTGTCTAATTTCAAGCAGGAGATGTCGGGCCTGGAGCAAGATCTGAGACTGAGATGCCCCCAAGGGTAAGAGGTCAGATTTATTCCAGTTAGTGCAAGTCACACTCCAAACTAAAGGCTGGGCAGTGCATTTAGTTTGTGGCCTAGAAGGCCTCATCAGCCCCCAACAGGAGGCCTTGCATTACCTCACTAGGACCTGTTTGGGGGCCATGCCTGCAGTTCACCCTCTGAACCCTCAGAGTGTTTGTCCTGTTTCTCGTCATGGGGTTAAGGTGTGCAGAGCACTAGCCAGACTTCCACATAGTCCTGCCCGAAGTGGGCGGCAGTATTCCTGGCATGACCAGGATTCCTGTGAAAGCAGGAGCAGCAGCAAGCCATCCCAAGCCTGCCTTTGGTTCTCCTTTAGAGTCTGGGTTCACGCCTGAAAAGGGATGGGCGCATCCTCTGAGCAGTCTGTCACTTGTCATTGCTGAGCCCACATCAGTAGGTCCGGGGACTTGACAAAGCATGTGGGAGGGGAAGGAAGAACAGAACTTGATTGACTCCATTTCTTGGAACAACTGATTAATTGCTAATACTAAACCACTCATTGTTATGGCTTCGTTTTTGAAAACCACCTGTCTCAAGGATTCAGGTTTCCGCTCACATCCCCAGCTGATACTCAATACAACTCAACCAGGAGCCTGTAGAGATGCTGACAGCCAGGTGATGGGTGAGACTGTGGGTCCCTTTTCCTCTAAAGCCTTTACTCTGAGGATGAGGTCACAAAATAGGGTGTGACTAGAAAGTATCTTGACCATGTGGCCCACCAGCAGCTTTTCCGAAGGGGAACTCCAGGACCATTTCATAATGCAAAGAGCACTGTCGCTTTAAGTACAAAGCCTTCAGGGCCTTTGAAGGCGGCTAAACTTGCAGGCGTGTGTGTGAAAAGCCATCCCATCTTCTGCCTCCAATTGGAGCTTTCAGCTTTTCAGTCAGGAACTATTGATTCTTTCCTTTAGGAAAAAACCGCTCAGGCAGAACGGGGTACATCCACAGGAGGAATCTGGTAAGAGCATGGGACCAGGAAAGAAAGAGCAGTTTCTGTTGAAGATGTAGCAAACGGATTTCCAAAGTCTACATAACATTCACTTTTCAAACTTCCCACCAGTGGAATTTCTTTTTTTCCTTAAGAAATAGGTGATGTCTTTGAAAACAGCTCCATATATCTTTCTGTGTGTCTCCATTTTCCTAGTCTCTAGAGTCTCAAAAACAGTGGCAATGCACTTTACAGTACTAACTGAGAAATCAGAGTCCCTGCTTCAGCGGCATCTAGTTTGTACAGGTTGGGTGATCTTTTATAATTCCTAGGAGGCAATGCATTTTTAATGTTTTTTGATGCTTTGTAATTGTGAGAGGGGGTCAAGAAGTACAGTTCTGTTCTGGAATTCTTTATTGCTTTCAACGGATGCTCTTTGTGAAAAATCCAAGTAATATTTTAGTTCAAACTTGATCTTGAGCCAAGGCCCACTGCCACCTCTGGGGTGGGAGTTGGACCTACATAGCAAGTGACAAGTTCATCTTAACATCTGCTTCCAAAATGGCTTTGATTCAGCTATGCCAGGCAACAGAACAGGGCCACTCCTGCTCTGTTATTGGCTTGAAGACTAAGATCCCAAAGGGGTTGCAGGCAGGAATATTTGGAAATTCAGACTGGAATTCCATGCTGAAAGCTCAAGACCACCGGCCTCTCCTCCTGCCTGGAAAAGTGAGCCTTTGTGAAGGACTGACTTACCACGTACAATTGTGATTGTGAATGTTATTGAGTAAACCTCCAGTCTTTCTCTAAAGCGGTCTCTGCCTTCTTCCTTCTCATGTGTCATTCTTCTTTCCATCATTCTTCACGTAGACCACCCACTTTGGACTCAGGCACTCTGCTGGGTACTAAAAACTAATTCCCAACAGCCATCATTCTAGAGTGGAAGGCAGACCTAAAACAGCCAAGATGATTTCAGCTGCAAATAGGGCTATGAAGGATATAAAGCCATGATATTTTAGAGACTGTCAGTGTTAGCTAGAATGGTGAGAGCTGAAATACATGGAGAAGGAGGGTGAATCAAGATGATTTCAGGGAACACAGTTCTAGGCAGAGGGAACGCAAGTGCAAAGGGCCTGAGGTAATTAGAAGTTCCTGTGTTGGAGGAGAAGAAGGAGGTGAGCTTGAAGAGTTATGTGGGGTATCCCACAGAGTGTCACACCCAGGAGTGGAGGATCTCAGGAGGGCAATGACAATATGAAATAAGTATAACTTTTTTTTTATGCTCTCCCTCTGTCACCCAGACTGAAGTACAGCAGCACTCATAGTTTACTGCAGCCTTCAACTCCTGGGCTCAAGTGATCCTCCCACTTCAGCTTCCCTAGTAGCTGGTAGCACAGACATGCACCACCATGTCCAACTAATATTTTTTTTTTTTTTTGTAGAGATGAAGTCTTGCTATGTTACCCAGATTGTTCTTGAACTCCTGGCTTCAAACAGTCCTCCTGCCTCGGCCTCCAAAAGTGCTGAGATTACCGGCATGAGCCACCACACCCAGCTGTAACTCATTTCTGATGCTCACCCATCAGGTGCACGTACTTGTTTACAAAAACATTTTGATGCTATTGGGTATTGGATGTGGTAGGAAGAGCACTTTCTGGCCCAGCTCTGCAAAAAACTCACATCTTGGGCAAATACTGCTTCCAACTAGACCTGTTTTCCACAGTAAAATGACGGGTTTTTGGATGATGCTTCCAGCTCCACCTGTGGTCCTATGATTGCATCTTGGTTGGAGGCTGCAGGTGACAATGAACAGAAGCTGGAGGTTGCCCCCTCATGCTGCCACCCAGGGCCCACCAGAGGGTGCTATGGACCATGGCTTGAAGAAGGCTGAATAACAGAAACGGGAAGTTTGGCCTATTTGGCAGGTTTGAGCCCTGGAATGAGAGGATCTTCTTAAAAGGTCCTTGGTGCCTCAGAATACTGTTCCATATTCTTAATTTTGCAAATAAAACAGACCCAGAGAAACCCCTGACCCAAGATGACATGGTAGTGACTGACACAGTGAAGAAGTCTAGGTTTTCAGTATCCCCTCTCTCATGTTATCCTCACACAATAACACCTTACAGCTTTGTCGACACAGGGAGAGATCCCTTTATTTTGTTGTTGTTGATTGTTTGAGACAGAGTCTCGCTCTGTTGCCCAGGCTGGAGTGCAGTGGTGCCATCTTGGCTCACTGCAACCTCTGCCTCCTAGGTTCAAGCGATTCTCTTGCCTCAGCCTCCCAAGCAGCTGGGATTACAGGTGTCTGCCACCACACCCAGTTAATTTTTGTATTTTTAGTAGAGACAGCGTTTCACCTTATTGGCCAGGCTGTTTTCAAACTCCTGACCTTGTGATCCACCTGCCTGGGCCTTCCAAAGTGCTGGGATTACAGGCGTGAGCCACTGTGCCTGGCTCAGATTCCATTTTTAAAGCCTTTTATACCTGTGTCCCCCTAGACTCTCAGAATAATTCCATGAAATAGATAAGAGAAAAATATTAGCTATTCATTCAGTAAAAATGTATCAAGTGCCTACTATATACCAGGCACTCTGCTAGAAATAAAAAGATTGTGCAAGGCACTTATGATCTAGTTAGAGAAATAGACGTTAAACAAATGATCATTAAAATAAGTGTATCATTAGGGACTATGTAAGTTCTGCAAAGGAGAAGTGCATGTGGGATTATGTTATAAGAACTTAACTTTAGCAAGGAGGTCATGGAGCATGCTGAATCAGCTAAGATCTTGTCATGATACAGCCCACTCCTGGAGTAACAGAAGAGAGTTTAATGAAAACTATTGGACAAATATGGGTAGAATTAAGGGAAACAACAAAGGATGGTGTAGCACCTAAGGACTAGCAGAAATGGGAAGCTGTTACTACTCTTAAGCCTGGAAAGGCAAGAAGCAGTGGTGTTACTAGAATGCAGAGAAGGCTGTAGCCAGGTACAGGGGCTTCCCAGTGGGATCTGCAACTGCAGGTAGTAAATTGCAGCTACTGCCAAAACCAGAGGAGGTGGGAGGAATACATACCCTGTCCTTTCTCCTTTTCTACCTTCCAGTCATCTGCTACTCACTGCCTCCCATTGGGTAAACCCAGTAATACAAATTCACATAAAGAAATGAAAAGCACTGGTCAAAATAACTATATAGGTAAATATAGAAGACAGTATAGATAAGGGATTTTTTTGTTTGTAACCCCTTTTTTCTCCTGGCTGATTTAAAAGCAAATTGCATAAATCAATAATTATAAATCTATTGATGGTCACACAATGTATAAGGATGTAATTTATATGTCAATAACTAACAAGAAAGAGGAGGAGGAAAGGGACAGAGCCATATAAGAGCAAAGCTGCCATATACTACTAAAATTAAGTTGAATTTAATTCTGAATTTTAAAAATTCTGAACCAGAATTGACAACTAAAAATATATGTGCACCTAACAACAGAGCCCAAAACACATAAAGCCAAAACTGACAGAACTGAAAGAAGAAATAATTATTTGACAAGAATAGCTGCAGACTACAGTACCCCACTTTTAATAATGAATAGAACAAGTAGACACAAAATCGGTAAGGAAATACAAAATTTAATTCTGTAAACCGACTAGAACTAACATCTATAGGACACTCCACCCATCAACGGCAGAATACCATACAACACAAACAGGAAGAAGGGAATAGAGCAACAACAGAGTTCAAGTGTGCATCAGACATTCCCCAGGATACAGCATATGCTAGGTCATAAACAAGGCTCAGTAGATTGTAAAACAACTGAACTAAAATCTGTTCTTCAGACACAATAGAATGTAATTAGAAATCAGTAACAGAAAATTGGGGGAAATTTAAAAATATATGGAAATTAAACAAACACTGTTAATGACCAATGGGTCAAAAAAGGATTCCCAGGGAAATTAGAAAATAATGTGAGACAAATGAAAATAAAAACATGACATTTCAAAATTTATGGGATGTAGAAAACTCAGTGCTCAGAGGGAAATTTATGGCTATAAATGCCTACACTTAAAAAGAAGAAAAATTTAAGTTAATACAACCTTCCACCTTAAGAAACTAGAAAAAGAAGAGCAAATGAAACCCAAAGCAAACAGAAGGCAATAATAAAGATTAGAACAGAAATCAGTTAAAGAGATTAGACAAATAGAAAAAAAAAAAAAAAAA